TGGTGGTGGTGGGAGCCTCAAATGGGAGGTGGGAACTTCAAATGGGAATACAGTCTGGAATTCAGGTGGGAAAAGGGTTGAAAATGTTTTGTCCCTCCCACACCTGCACAGGAATTTTGGGAGTCTCCATCAAGGAGCTGCTCCTGCTCTCCTGGAGCCACTCACCTCCGCTCTGCAGCCCCAGGCCCTTCTTCAGGCTGGAGATCAGGGGGTATTTGCCTTCCTTGCAGAATTCCCCAGTGAAGTCATCCATGTCCAGGGCCCACACCATGGCTCCTCCAAAGTTGTTCTTCTTCAGCCAGTCCACCTGTGGGGAGGAGAATCCCAGTGAGCCCAGGAGCTGATCCCACAGGAGGCTCTGGTCCCACCCCAGCACGGCCCCGCTGCCCAGACCTTGAGGCCAAAGCTCTTGACGTTGTCGTAGCCGACCCACTCGCTGCCCTTGTAGGCGTAGGGGACATCCTGGGGTTCGTCCCAAGCCTGGGTGGCTCCAGAGCTCAGCAGAGAGCAGATCTAGGGAGAAGGAAGCAGGAATGTTACCCACAAAAAGGGAAAAGCCCAGGCTCTGCCCTTGCCTTGGCTTTATCCTCTGCTTTTGTGCCACTTCCCCGTTCCCTGAGTACACAACTCCTTCCTGGTGATTCCACGGATAGCTCTGTGCCTGAGCCATGCAGAAAACTTCCTGATCAATTCCTTCAAATGATTTGAGCACGGAATGTGATGGAACATTCCTACCTCGTAGTAAGCCAGAGTTCCAGCCTCCCTGGTGTAGGGCCCAGCGGGGCCAGGGCCGGATGCTGGAGCTCCAACAGAGGTGTCAGATGGGTTCTGCAGGGTGAAGCTCTTTCCATAGGTTGGGAATCCCACCAGGAGCTTCTCAGCTGGGGCACCATTGCTCTTCCAATAGTTCATGGCGTATTCCTGCAAGAAACCACTCCCACTCGACTCTTTGCTGGGATTTGAAGGATGAATTCCTCGAAATCTCCTGGGGGGAGCCTCCGAGGATCTGAGAGCTGTGGGTGTCCCACAGAAACACTCACAACGTTGAAGTATTTGTAGTCGCCGCTGTCGGCAGGGCCGGCGAACAGGGGGCTGTTCTCGCCAGTGTTCCTCTCCCAGGAGCCGTGGAAGTCGTAGGTCATGACGTGGAAGTAATCCAGGTACCTGCAGGAGCGGGGCTGTGTCCTCACCTGAGGAACCTCCACTGGGGCTGCCATCACCCCCACCCCTTCAGGGTGTATTTCACTTCAGCACTTCCAGGAAACGCCTCCAATCCCACCAGGGACCCCAGGCTGGTCACTCACTTGCCCAGCTCGGCGATCTCGTAGCCAGACTGGATGGTGGAAAGCCCGGCAGCGACAGCGGCGGTGACCATGAGCCGGGGCCTGTTGGTCTGCCTGGCTTCCTGCTCGAAGGCTGCCAGCAGCTCCTGAGGGATCCAAGGCACAGGAATCACCGGGGGGCTCGGGGCTGGGGCTTTGCAGCCACCCAGGGCTCACAGGCCAGAGCTGTGGCCGGCAGAGCCTGCAGCCAAGCCCACCTTAACCAGCACGGTGAAGAGAGACTTGTCCTGGGCAGGGCTGCCCCTGGAGCCGGGGTATTCCCAGTCCAGGTCCAGCCC